TCTCTCTCTCTCTCTCTCTCTGTCTGTCTCCCTTTTTCTCTCGCTCCTTCACGCGACGCGGCGACGAGCGTGTTGCGCGTTCCGAGACATGAATGGAATGCTTCCTCCGGCGGGCGATGCACGCGAGAGACGACTACGGGTCTGGAATGGAATGGGCCGAGAGGCTCCAGCACGGGTCTGGCCCAGGAGTGGGGCCGGCTCTCGCCGGGCCCTTTGCAGGGCACGGCTTGGTACCAGGGCTGTAGCTATCTTCCGTGTCGAGCCGAGCATGTTTGAGCGCGGATACGAGCTGTCCAGCGGGGATACCTGTGTCGAAAATGCTGGAGATGGAAACTCTCTCCTTCGTTGCCGGACGAAGTAACGAAATAACGAGAACGCAGAGCGAATGAAGTAACGCGAACATGACGGAAACGGTGGCTATATTCTTCTTTTGGGTCGTGGTATTTCGATTCAGTGCGCTCGCGGTACCTCTCGATTCTCCACCGCCGTAAACGAATTGTCTTATCTATTAACAAGTGAGCCACTGAAGAGTATCCGATTGCCACAAATTGCTAATTACGAGTCACTTAAATACGCGTATGATTATTACGTTTTTTAAATGAATATTATTTTTATTTCTTCATTATTCTGATTGCCCTACCCTTCCAGAACATCCCTTACAGAAATCGAACTGGGAACGAAAACAGCACTGAACGATTGCTAGCGTTCAGTAATTGAATTACCAGAAATTACTGATGTACAGTAATTTTCTAGTAATTATTTTGCTTACATTTCTATAACGAGTATGAGGGATCAAAAGTCGTTGTCGCCGATGGTGTAAAGCACTAAGCGTGTCGGTAGAATAGAAAAAGGCCTACGCTAATTTCTGAAATTTATAAAGGAATGTTCCCTCGGCCTGGAATTCCGGAATATTTGGATCGCTTCTTTCATACTAAAGTATGCATTTTACGACACGGTTGCGAAGGCGCCGCTAGCGGAGCATGCAAGATATTTAATTGGATCACTTCTGTTAGCTTCGCTTGTGTTGGAATTTCCGGCGTAGGAAAGTATGTCGTTGCCACTGTCTACGCGTGATCGGAATTCGTTCTACTAAGGGCAAGACGTTCGGCGCCGAAGGTACAGGGTTAAAAGAATTCTACATGCGTCGCATGTTATTGATTGACCTAAATGTGTGTATACGTTTGATTTCTCGGTAGTCTTTCACTCAAAAGTCCCCT